GCCTCTCTCCTAAAGTCCTCACTGGGTGGAAGGTGACTTGGAACCTCCGCTGGGTCCTCACTCATGGGCCCAGCATGGTGTTGCCCTCTCGCCCTCACTGTTCCCAGGACTCTGGGGCCTGGTGAATAATGCCGGCATTTGCACTCCCATGGCACCCAATGAGTGGCTGACCAAACAGGACTTCGTAAAGATGCTCGACGTGAACCTGTTGGGGATGATCGAGGTGACCCTGAGTCTGCTGCCCCTAGTGCGGAAGGCGAGGGGCCGTGTGGTCAACGTCTCCAGCGTCATGGGCCGCGTGTCCCTCTTTGGTGGGGGCTACTGCATGTCCAAGTACGGCGTGGAGGCCTTCTCAGACTCCCTCAGGTAATGGCCTGGGATGGAGGCCCTTCCTCTGTCCTCCTGCTTCATGCTTCTGGAGGTGCCTTCTACAGGGGTTTTCTTTCTTTAGAGACCTAATGGCCCTTCCTTCCAGGTCCCTCTCTCCTGCTCTGTGTAGGTCTTTCACTGGGAAGCACCCTTTTATCTTTTGGGTGTCCAGGTGGGTGCGAGGCCTAATATGATTCAACATATTCCTGCCTTGCGTGAGGGTCCACAGTCACCAAAGTGTCGGAGGCAGAACTGGACCTGATATTATTTGTCTGTGCAGCCCTTCCATGTGCTCAGCTGCTGCGGTATTTAGGTTTGGGGAGCCCTGTGGGGAGTGTACCCCATGAAGCCATTAATCCAGGGAGCCACTTAATCAAATCAGTGTGGAGACTCCACGGGCTGCAGGGAGAAGGTGGCTCTGATGTGCGGGATCTGATACCGTGGGCAGAGAGATGCTCCCTAGAGGACAGGTGGCCAGGGGGTTAGCAGAGTAGGAGAGGGGAGAGAGGGGACTGGGGAGTATGGGAAAGATAAAATGTGCAAAGTGTGGTGATTGATTGGAGGGGAGAGGAATAGGAGGAGATAACATTTAAAGGATGCCTTGTAGCACAACTGGTAGGATTTAGAGCTGATAGGCGCAGGTATGTAAAGTAATTGGAAAAATATTCCCACTCTATACAGAAGCAATACCATCATCCTGAGCTTTCTCCCCCTGGCTTCTGTACCTCACAACCTCTGAGAAATTCCAGCGTATCCTACCCCGATCCTATGTTGGTGTCTTACTGTTCTTTCATGTTTTGTTTTGCAAGAGGACCTCTGAAGTCCTTGCCCCTCTGCCTGTCTCCCTTGCAGGAGGGAGCTCTCCTACTTCGGAGTGAAGGTGGCGATGATTGAGCCTGGTTACTTCATGACCAATATGACCAGCCCTGAGGTGTTTAATGGAAGCCTCCAGGCATCATGGGATCAGGCCAGCCCAGAGATCAAGGAACTCTATGGAGAGAAGTTCGTGGCTGACTGTGAGTGAGACCTTGGGGAGAGAAGCAAACCCTTGTCTGGTAGCCTGGGTCCATCATTAGCACCTCCTCCAGTCTCAGGTCCATCCTCCAGGCTCTGAGTCCCCCCACATAGTGGGGACATGAACTCCATCCCCAGGGTCCTGTGTGGTCAATTGGTGACCCAAGGAAGGGATTCAGCCTTGATAGACCTGGGGACCAGTTTCTCTTCCGAAACTCTTTTAATTTGGGAAGGAAACTGAAGCCAGAGAGGGAAGACACCCGTGGAATCACGGTAAGCTGGTGTTAGAACCAGCTTTTTTCAGGTGCCTCAATTTCTAGTGTTTGCAAAGACCTCCAGTTTATGTAGTGCACATATTCCCAGGAATAGATCCAGAGGGGGCTTGGTGTGGATAGAGATCCTGGGGTAAGTGTTAGGACACACTCCAATGAAATCCATGGATTTGATTTGGAGTATGATTTTGGAAGAGAAAGGACTTTTTAGAAACTGTCATGTTGATCTGAAAGTGGGAATATTGGGAAATGAGAATATTTTGGATGGTGTCTCCTTCTGGACAGTCATGAAGACATCTAATTTATTGAAGCCATCATGGTCCGGGAATCTGTCCTTGATGACCAACTGCATGGAGCATGCCCTGACCTCCTGCCACCCCCGCACCCGGTACTCCGCTGGCTGGGACGCCAAGTTCTTCTACCTCCCCGTGAGCTACATGCCCACCTTCCTGGTGGATCTCATGATGTACTGGGGTGCCCCACGGCCTGCTAAGGCCCTGTAACCCAAGACTGGGGTGCATGGTGGGGGCAGTTGGGGATAGTGTGGGGAGGGGATGCATCAGGGAGAGGGAAATAGAGTGGCGAAAGGGGTTCTCATGTCACCGGGGACACCCATCCCACCTCAGTCCCCAGGCTTCTCTTGGGACATTACTTAGTTCTCTGGGGATATTAGGAAGAAAGGAACAAGTCTTATGGCCGAGGAACAGGGCTCATTATCTCACATCTGTGTTCTGTTCCTTGAGTGGCCTCTCAGTGCCTTATGACCCACATGCAGCTGTGAAAAACCCTCGCTTTGGGGAGGGTGTGAGCAGCTGGGAGTTTTCAGTCCCCCCTGCTCTGCCTCTGTCCACCTGTTGATGTATCTTTCCCATGTCCAGTCTCCCTCTCCCCCAGGATAGAAATGGACAGGGGAGATAAAGGCCCCTCTTGCCTGAGGGTATGTGTTGACAGTGGAGGGTAACCACCAGCCTGACTCACGAGCCTAGGTGCCAACTCAGTAGACCTTGGCTGGAATGCGATCCTGTCGGAGAACAAACAAACCGGGTTTTGATCTATCTTGGAAACAAGAATTTCCATTGATTATTTCTTCCTTAAAATTATAGTTGAAAAGTTCACCTGCTTGAGCTTCATGCTTAATCTGAAGACTCCTGTTTTTCAAATTATTATTTATACACGTAAACACTCACATACACACACAGACACCGAGCCAGTCACACCAAACAAACTGAAATCAAATAAAGTATCATTGATTCACTTTATGCCTTGGGGGTATGTGTTCAGGAGGTTTGGACTCAGCCCCAGGAATCCTCTCCAGAATGTCAGAGAGCTTGTGAGATTGCAAAGCCCTGGTCCTCCTTGCTGGTCTTACAGGGGGGTGCAGGGCTGCACTGAGTTGGGTTCCATGGCCCACAGTGTGGACTGTGACACAAGGACCCCTATTTAGACAAGGCGGAGCAACAAAAGCGCTGAAAAAAGAAGTGCAATGCACACCATCCCACGTCCTTACCCTAGACCTTCCGTAGATCCCTATTCCTCCTCCTTCCAGGCTGCCTTTCTTAGGGAGGGAACCAGGTCTGGTCTGATGGACGTGTGAAGGGGCTGGAACCCATGCCATGAGGGTCCATGCGGCTGTCACAAGGAAGTTTCCCTAATCCTCCCCTTGGCTGTCCCGGTGGTTTTTGACAAAGGATCAGTGATTCCCCACTGAAAATCTCATCTCCTCCAAGTAACAGATATTCAGCGCCGGAGGCGGGATTTGTCTCTCCATTTTGGGAGCTCACTGCAGAAGGAGGACTGCATACCTGTAGGGCTGGAAAAGAGCTTGCACAATCAGCCCTCACTCCTGGCACCTTCTAGCCCCCTTTGGTTACCTACGCCTCTCCCCACTTCAGGGGACCCAACCTGAGATGAGAAGAGGGGATGGTGTGGGACACCCTGTCTTTGACAGTGGTCCTACTGAGACTGGGCAGAGAGACACCTGGTGGTGGCAGCCCCTGCTCCAGCACAAGCAGGCTCACAGGTGCGGCCTCAGAATCTGGGCCAGCTGCAACTCCCTGGACCGTAGATGCAGAGATCTTGGTCAGTGAGTCTCCCTGACAGGGTCGCCTCTGAAAGATTTCTTCTTCTGGCCCCCGCAGCTCCCAGGTGAGTGAGTGTCACCCCAGGCTCCTTTCTCTTACTGCTCTCTCCTGACCTTCCTGTGGTTGTTCCCACCTGGAATGTAGTCTGAAACAGCTGAGACTCCCGCAAGCAGTCATATTACTTTCAGGGTTCACAAAAGGGAAGCAAATGGCCTGAGGGCTGGGACGTGTCTGCTGCATGGCCCCTTGGGAGTTTATGGTTGAAGGAATTCGTGGTCACTGAGAAAAAAAAATCTCCTGTTTCTTCCAAGTAAAGAAACCAAACCTTCTCCCATAGCAGGGTTTTTGTTTGTCTAGGATTTGCATGCCGCCCCGGCTTCTTGACACCGTTTCCACACAGTTTCCAGGGCACCATCCTTCATCCTTGCCTTCTTCGTCCTCACCCTTTGGGAAGCCCACGTAGGAGGGTCCTGGTGGTCACGCAGGAAGCAGGCACAGGCTGGTTTCTGCAAGACGAGCCTTTCTATTACTGCTGCCAACTCCCACCTGAGGGACAAACACTTTCAGGACTACAGTCAGCTCCCTGCACTTGACAGTTACCACTAAAGGCTGAATCTGTGCCCCTGTCTGTCTTTGTTGGCTGCTGGGGTGGGTTCCAGGGGCATTTGAGCCTCTGTTTGCTTGGGGAAGCCTCTCCTTCCCTCCCAGTGCCTCTCGTATTTCCTTACTTACCAGTCGGAGCTGTAGTAAATGTGGACGGTCAGGGGATGCCCAGCGCACTGAACCAGGCTCCTTCTGTCCCTGCCCCACTCACCAGCTCTGTGCCCCTGATGGGTCCACCCCCGTTACTGAATGAAAGTCCCTGCATGCACAGCTGTTCTGGGGTCCAGCC